TGCCCCCTGCTGGGAACAGACCTGCAACCCAGGCATGTGCTCTGACTGGGAATTGAACTGTGACCCTTTAGTTCCCAGGCCCCCACTTAATACACTGAGCTACACCAGCCAGGGCCTAAAATGAATTGTGGTGGAAGGAGCAAAGTAGGGATTAAATTTCCTTCTCCTCCCCCAAGGGCAATTATTCATACTTCGAAATGCTATTTTTAAACATATGTTAAATTCTCAAACATAAATTTTATAATGATAACTAATAAGTACTGCATGCTTATAAAATCCTCATAATAAGCCTTTGCAGGAATTTCTATTATTATCCTCAGTTCATGGTTGAGGAGAGTGAAGGACAGACAACTCATTAAAATTATGATTTTAAGTGAGGAAAAACTTCCTCTACCCTCTTAGTTTTAGTAGTGGGCACCTGTGAATTAAATTGACAAAAGATAAATTATCAGGAGACAAGGCTTATTCATACGCACATGGGGGCTTCACAGAAATGAAAACTCAAAGAAGTGGTGAGGGCTGGGAGATAATATACCATTTTAACAAAGGAAGATACATTGTGAGAAGTGAGTAGTGAAGGGAAGGGGCTTGGGCTTCTAGGGATGGTAAGTTATGGGAAGCTGACTCTATGGGGTGAACTAATGAAGACTGGAAGGGTTATTTTAATAAGGTTTCTTTATACAGACTCAAGTCAGTGAAGTATCCAGTGATAAGAGTATTTCTTAGTATGGGAGACGGAATGAGGCAACTTCAAAATGGGAAATTTATGCCTTAACCGGTATCGCTCAGTTGGTTGGGCAGGGTGAGGGTTTGCCCATTCAGTTCCGGGTCAGGGCACATGCCTGTGCTGCAGGTTCCGTCCCGGTCAGTGCAGTAGGAAGAGACCACCCATCGATGTTTCTCTCATATTGTTTCTCTCCTTTTTCTCCCTCCCTTTGCCCTGTCTCTAAACATAAATAAATAAAATCTTTTTTAAAAAGGGAAATTTGTATCATGCTTTTAGGTAGCTGGAGGATAGAGAGCTCTTCCTGTGTTTGCTATTTCTTAATTGCCTTCAACTCAAAATAATTTTCATGCCAAGTGACATAATTTGGAGTGGCATGTCCTGATTCCTCTCACATAAAAATACATATTGACAACCAAGTATTCTTAATTTAAGAATTAAGAATTCTTAATTTAAGAATACTTGGTTGTCAATATGACAAGCATTAAAACCAAGCATTAAAAATTCATATTTTACATAGTGCCATTACTGGGTATCCTGATGTTGAAGGGAGACCAGAAGCACAGACAGTACAGGAGACTTATCTAAGAGCCTATTGGCAAACCAAAGATACCTGTCTTATCTCCTAAAATCTTAATTCCTTCTTCTTTGCATTTAGCCATTTGGTTACCTGAAGGTCCTTGGAAAACAGTCCTTACATTGAAATCTATTTCACTCACTACAGTCATAATTTTGTTTCTCAAGTTCTGTTACTAAAACTGCTGTTAAAAAAGATCTCAGTTAAGGGGGAAAAGGGGGAGGGATTTGGAGGAACAAATAGGAAGGACACAGGGACAAGAACTAAGGGGGGGTGGAAATGGGAGGGAGGTGGGGAGCAAGGGGTGGGGGGAGGCTGGGATGGGAAAAATAGACAAAAAACTGTACTTGAAAAATAACTAAATAAAATTAATTTAAAAAAAGAATATACACAATAAGTGGGATATACAAGGTAAATAAAATAGACCTGTAACAACAACAAAAAAAGTTCTCAAGTGAAAAGAGCATTCAGGCCGCCAGATTCAACAATTTGTGCAGTGATAATGTGACCTTTTCTGCCTTTAACAGTGTGATCTTTGTAGGAGCTTTTATTTGCAGATTGAAAATGCTCATTGTACTCTTTTTGGAGGCATCCTTTAAATGGCTACATTTTAAGAGATGGAGTGTTGCTGGTGACTAGTCCAGTGTGGTAAAAATGCAGCCTCTCCCAATTATAGCCATTGTGCTTCATTATTAGAAGGTTATGTATGAAGTTTAGAAAAACATGTACACCTCAGTTCTTTCTATTCTTAGAGAAAAGTACTTTCCTTGATTGCTTTGCTAACCTCTGGGCATTTGAGTTTCAAAGGCAGGAATGTTGTATGGTAAGCTTCTTGGTGACTGAGTAGTTATGGAAAGGCTTGAATAGGCTGCCTTCCTGAGGTAGTCTGAGAAAATAATACAAAATTTAGTAACTCAAAATCATTTTATTAGAACATGTTTTAGGAATCTTATTCTAACACTGCTGTTAGTACTTCATCTTGTTTGTGCTTGTAGTGCTTATAAAGCAAATTAATAAGGGTTCAAGTTCAGCAGAACTTGACTTTGGTCAGTATGTGATTTTCACAAGCAGAAATACCAGTCCCTTTTCAGGACAGTGGAATTACATAAGCCAGAAAATTCCTGCAAAGATACATCTCCCTTTTCTCCACACCTAATTGGTCACTAATCCCTATTGATTAGACTTTCTTATATCAATTTAATTTTCACCCTTCTCTATCTCCACCACTAATGTACTGAAAGCATTTCTCACTACAGTGGCCTCCTATTGGATTTCTTTGCTTCTGCCTTGCCTTCCTATGACCCATGTTCTATACACTTGCCAGTGAGCTTTGTCAAATGTGAAATCAATATACTTCATCCTTAAACATCTCTTCCCATCCGCTGTCTATGTGTTAAAAGCTAGGTTCCCCCAACTTGTCATAGGAGGCCCTTTAAGATCTGTTTGATGACCACCACCCTCCTCTCCTACTTTTCTCCTTTGATGTATTTATATGCAGCATGCTGGGCCTTTTAATTCCATTTACCTAGAATGCTTCACAACACTCCACTTGTCTGGCATCCTTTACAATTCATTTTAACCGTTGCCTCTTTGGAAAGCCTCTATCTTATTCTCCCGGTTTTGGGTTTATCTTCATCTGCGTTCTCCCATAATAGGGGCTAAATAGCTTTTTTCTGCTCCTAAAGGACTGTATTTGTCTGGCTTATCACTTTATCGTCACGCTGTAATGTTCTTTTAGCTTACTTTTATATTCCTAGAGGCCAACATCTGTTATTAACCTCCTTTTTACATTTACGTACAGTACTTGGTAAAGAATCAGTAAGTGCTTTTTAAAACTTTGTATTTTGAAATAATTTGACTTACAGAAACGTCAAATATAGTTAAAAAAAACTACTGTGTATTTGTCTCCCAGATTCTCCAACTGTTAACATAATTCTATATTTGCTTTATTGTTCGCTCTCTCTTTTTCTGTTATATTTTACTAAACGTTTTGAGATTAAATTGAAGATACGTTGCCTCTTTAGAGTGTGTTTCCCAGAAACAAGAACATTTTCTAATGTAACCAGAATAGAATGATCAAAATCAGGAAATGAGCATCGATACATTATCCAATTGAGAGACCTCAAGTGCTACCGATTATTCCATTAATGTCCTTTATAGCAAAAAAAAAAAAAAGAACAAAAAAACAATTTGGGGGGGATCAGTTCAATGGAGGACACATGTTGTATTTAGTTTTTTAAAAAATTTTTTATTTTGAGGGGTAGGCATTTTCTCAGTCTTTCTTTGTATTTCATGACCAATTATTTTATAGAATATCCCTCAATTTGGGTTGCAGGAAAAAATTGTGAAAAATGTTGAAATGCACCAAAAAATTACTGACTGTCTCTAAGGAGAACCAGAAGTTGCCTGGCATACCTGTCTTTCAAGTTCTCTGATTTCTCTGTGACTCTGAGCTTTTTGTTACAGTCAAGCTATTTCATAGTGATATAGGCCATAGGAAACTGACAGCAATTCAAACAATTCTTGTCCATAGAAATCGCACATTCTGTCTGGTAGAATGCAGTTAGGTGATTGTTGCTATTAACTAGTTTCAATAGTTTTTGTGTTTACTTGTAAATTCGTTTCAACATTCTTTATTTGATGGTATATAAGCAGTACTTTGGATTCTCCCAACTGGTTACAGTGTTTTACTGGTTTCATCATTAAATGAAATAAAAAATTTTAACACATTTATTTTATACGTATATAAGAGTTGCAATTATACTTTAAAAATTTCTCTTTTAACAGAGGTTATTTAATGTTTCTTCATGATTAGATTCACTTTATTTATTTTTGGTAAGAATACTACAAAAAAGGAATTTTGTTTTCTCAGTACATTGCATCAGGAGGTACATGGTGTCCATTTGCTCTGGTGCCAGTGCTGTTAACTTGGATCACTAGGTTAAGAGACAGCTGCCTGGTTTTTCCACCATAAAGTTACTATTTTCTCTTCTCTAATTAGTATCTTTTGGTGAAATGCTTTAAGAATATGTTAGTATTCTGTCTCATATCAGACTTTCATTTACTGGTTTTAGCTTCCATTGATGATCCTTGCCTGAATTAGTTATTACTGGGACAATTACCCGATGATGATTTTTCTAGTTTTTTTCATGTAGTTTACATTTATTATTTGGCATTCTAGTGTAAGGAAGTATTTTTTTCTTTTCTTCCATTTACTTATGATTGGGTGGACACATTGACTTCTATTTTATCTTATGGGTTATAACATGTTACTTTTATCACTATGTTGGTGGTCAGATTGTTTCAGATGTGGGCAGTGGGAATTTCTCTGGGCTCCTGTGTCAGCAGTTACGGTCTCTGTTATGGTCCTTGTTTCAGCACTTCCTGACTTTCTGGCATGACGAGATGGGCCAGGTTTGTGTCTGCAGAAGAAGGTCTAAATCTATAGAAAATTTAATAGGAGTTTATTTAACTTTTTAAAACTTTTGTGTGCTTAGCTATACTCTTGTGTTGCTTAGTGGGGATTACGATATTTTTTGTTCCTGGGGTTTTTAAGGAAGGATGTCAGTAAAACATTTTGCTTTTTTATTTTTTAGGGGTAATTAATGATGGTAGATATATGAAGTATGTTTCAGCGTGTATATCCTATAGACTTTTCTATTATGTGGATATTCTGACATATTTTACTCTTGTTTTCAGATTGCTAAAGCTAAAGGAGATGTTTAACTCTAAGTTCGGATCCATTCCCAAGTTTTATGTTCGAGCACCGGGAAGGGTCAACATAATAGGTATTTCAAAACTTCCTTCTCTAAGTTTTTCTTCTTTTGGTAAAATCCAAATTTTTGTTAATATCTTGTTTTCTTAATTTTTTTTCCAGGAGAACCGAAAAAAAAATAGGATATTTTACATATATCTACTATAGTAAGATACACTTATGCAAAACATAGGAACCATACAATATTTTCATCTTTCCCAATGTAGTAATTATTAATGTTAATTTTGCCCATTCATTAAAAATTTATAAATTTATTGAAACTGGTTATTAATATTGTTTCATAAGGGACAAAAATATTGTTCTGTGCTGCAGGTTAAATTTTTCAACTGTGGTGAATAATTTTGATGAATTTTACATTTACTCACTGGATTAGAAGAATACTGGGAAACCCTATAATTCCTCACTTTTAATAATAGTGTAGTGACATGAAGAATGATTTTTTGTGTGTTATTTATTTAAAAATTTTTTTATAATAGTTCATTTGAGCCAAACTGATGACATGTGCTGGGGAGCAAGGTCACAAATGCTCTGGAGAAGTTTTGCAGCTCTCATATGCATTTGAGATTAAGGAGGGACAATAAGGAAGATTACATGAAGGTGGGAAAAACTAATTCAGGGGCTGGAATACAGGATAGTTAAACTAATGCATTAGAAGGAGGGTTTTGACCCAAAGCACCCAAAATCATGGAGACTGAATGGTATGCTATTAAACAATGAATGGGTCAAGAATGAAATTAGGAAAGAAATCAAAAAGTTTCTGGAAACAAATGAAAATGAACTCACAACAACCCAAACTTACGGGACACAGCGAAGGCAGTCCTGAGAGGGAAGTTTATAGCAATACAGGCCTACCTAAAGAAGATAGAAACATTTCAAACAAACAACCTAACCCTACGCCTGCAAGAACTTGAGGAACAACAACAAAGACAGCCCAGAGCAAGCAGAAGGAAGGAAATAACCAAGATTAGAGCAGAACTAAATGACAGAGACTAAAAGCACAATCCTAAGGATCAATGAATCCAGGAGTTGGTTCTTTGAAAAGATAAACAAAATAGACAAGCCTTTAAGTAGGCTCATCAAGAAAAGAAGAGAGAGGACACAAATAAACACAATCAGAAATGAAAGAGGAGAGATTACAACTGATACCACAGAAATGGAAGGGATTGTAAGAAATTACTACGAAGAACTGTACGTCAAGAAATTTGAAAACCTAGGGGAAATGGACACATTTCTAGAAAAATACAATCTTCCAAAACTTAATGAAAAAGACACAGAAAATCTGAACACACCAATAACAGCAAAAGAAATTGAAGCAGCAATCAAAAAACTCCCACCACACAAAAGCCCTGGACCAGATGGTTTCACAGGAGAATTCTACAAAGCATTTAAGGAAGAGCTAACCCCTATTCTTCACAGACTATTCAAAAAAATCCAGAAGGATGGAAAACTCCCAAATTCTTTTTATAAAGCCAGCATCATACTAGTTCCAAAACCAGACAGAGACACAACAAAGAAAGAGAACTTCAGGCCAATATCGCTGATGAACACAGACGCTAAAATCCTCAACAAAATATTGGCAAATCACATCCAACAATATATCAAAAAGATCATACACCATGACCAAGTGGGATTCATCCCAGGAATGCAAGGATGGTTCAACATTCGCAAATCAGTAAATGTAATTCATCACATAAATAAAAGCAAAGACAGAAACCACATGATCATATCAATAGATGCGGAAAAAGCTTTTGATAAGGTACAACACCCATTTATGATAAAAACACTCAGCAAAGTGGGAATAAAGGGAGCATTCCTCAATATAATAAAGGCCATATATGAGAGACCTACAGCCAATATCATACTCAATGGGCAAAAACTAAAAGCTTTTCCACTAAGAACAGGAACAAGACAAGGTCCACTTTCACCACTTCTATTCAATATAGTTTTGGAAGTTTTGGCCACAGCGATTAGGTAAAAAAAGGAAATAAAAGGCATCCAAATAGGAAAGGAGGAAACAAAACTGTCACTGTTTGCAGATGACATGATAGTGTACATGGAAAATCCTATAGACTCTACCAAAAAACTGCTTGAACTAATTAATGAATTTGGCAAAACAGCAGGATACAAAGTCAATATCCAGAAATCAAAGGTATTTTTGTATACTAACAATGAATCAGCAGAAGCAGAAATCAAGAAAAAAAATCCCCTTTGATATAGCAAAAAGAAAAATAAAATATCTGGGAATAAACCTAACCAAGGAGGTAAAAGACCTGTATGCAGAAAACTACACAGCCCTGAAGAAAGAAATCAGGGAAGACACAAACAAATGGAAACATATACCTTGTTCATGGATTGGAAGAATTAACATCATCAAAATGTCCATACTACCCAAAGCAATATACAGATTCAATGCAATACCTATTAAAGTACCAATGGCATATTTCACAGACATAGAACAAACACTTCGAAAATTTATATGGAACCATAAACGACCCCGAATAGCAGCTGCACTTTTGAGAAAGAAGAACAAAGTAGGAGGGATCACAATACCTGATATCAAACTGTATTACAAGGCCACTGTAATCAAAACAGCTTGGTACTGGCATAAAAACAGACACACAGACCAATGGAACAGAACAGAGAGCCCAGAAATCAACCCAACTCTCTACAGTCAATTAATATTTGACAAAGGGGGCAGTAATATAAAATGGAGTGAAGATAGCCTCTTCAACAAGTGGTGTTGGGAGAACTGGACAGCTACATGCAAAAAAATGAAACTCGAGCACCAACTTACACCATACACCAAAATAAATTCAAGGTGGATAAAAGACTTAAATATAAGCCGTGACACCATTAAAGTCCTAGAGGAGAACATTGGCAAGAAAATCTCAGATATTCCATGCAGCAACATTTTTTACTGATATGTCCCCTCGAGCAAGGAATATAAAGAAAAGAATAAACAAATGGGATCTCATCAAAATAAAAAGCTTCTGCACGGCTAAAGAAAACAGTATTAAATTAAAAAGACAACCAACTGTATGGGAAAACATATTTGCCAATGATACCTCAGACAAAGGTTTAATCTCCAAAATATACAAAGAACTTACACGACTTCACTCTAAGAAGACATCTAACCCAATTTAAAAAATGGGCAAAAGACTTGAACAGACACCCTCCAAGGAGGACATACAGAATATCGAGAGACACATGAAGAGATGCTCAATATCATTAGCTATCAGAGAGATGCAAATTAAAACCACAATGAGATACCACTTTACACCAGTCAGGATGGCTATCATAAACAAAGCAACAAACAACAAATGTTGGAGAGATTGTGGGAAAAGGGGTCCTTAGTTCACTGTTTGTGGGATTGCAGGCTGGTGCAACCATTATGGAAAACAGTATGGAATTTTCTCAGAAAAATAAAAATCGACCTGCCTTTTGACCCAGCAATTCCACTGCTAGGATTATATCCTAAGAATCCTAAAACATCAATTTCAAAGAACCTATGCATCACAATGTTCACAGCAGCACAGTTTACAATAGCCAAGAGTTGGAAGCAACCTAGGTGCCCGTCAGTAAATGAATGGATCAAAAAATTGTGGTATATATACACAATGGAATTCTATGCAGCAGAGAGAAAGAAGGAGCTACTACCCTTTGCAACAACATGGATGGAACTGGAAAGCATTATGCTGAGTGAAATAGGCCAGGTGTTAAAAGACAAATACCATATGATCTCACCTTTAACAGGAAGCTAAACAACAAAACAAACAAGCAAGCAGAATAAAAACAAAGACACTGAAATAGAGAACAAGGGGACAGTGACCAGAGGGGAGAGGGAAGGGAATTTAAGGGGGAAAAAGGGGAGGGATTTGGAGGAACAAATATGAAGGACACAGGAATGAGAACTAAGGGGGGTGGAAATGGGAGGGAGTTGGGAGCACAGGGTCGGGGGCGGGGTGCTGGGATGTGAGAAATAGACAAAAAACTGTACTTGAAAAGTAACTAAATAAAATTATTTTAAAAATTAAAAAAAAGAAGGAGGGTTTTGAAAAGGGGCATTTCAAAGGTGTGTTAACCTAGATTCACAGAAATAATGGACAGAGCTTGCTTAAGGCAAAGATAAGCCTTTTACTAAATAAGTTAAATGCCTGGGACATGACTACCAACCATAACCTCCCCAGTTAGGAATTTATGATCAGATCACCCTATGAGGTTACTTTCCATAGAAACCTTCTTACTTTCCAGAGAATCCCTTTTTCCATCCAAAACAGGAAACTTGTGTAGCTCCTTATCCAGTTACAATGATATTTAAGTACTGTGGCATGACATGTGATTATATCTATTCTACCAATATGGACTGAACACCTAACATGTGCTGGCACGGGGATGCCGTAATGTATAAAGTTGCAACAGTCCCAGTCTTTATGTGAGAATGGTTGGCTTTTATGGAGAGAAAATGGGATGTAGAACTGAGAAAAATGTAGGACTCAAAGGAGGATTAAAAAGAAAACGCTTTACTATGGAAAATGTAAGCATACAAAAAAGTAGTTGGAATAATATAATAAACTCCCATGTACCCAAGAGCTTCAATTATTATCAACTCAGACAGCCTTATGTTATTTTGAAGCGAATAATGGAGATTTAAAAAATATGAAAGGCTTGAGTATGGTTAAATAAGGAGGGAGGGGAATGGAGTAAATCCACTGGGGAGAGAGATGGAAGACATCCAAGCAGGGAGGAACTGATGGAGCAGAGTTTCCTGGAAGGTAAGAGGGCCGGCATCTAGAGCCTATGCTGAGGACCACTTGGACTCGTTTTCATGTAAGACAAGGGAGAAAAGGACTCAGGTTGATGTAGGTAAATTTTTAATTTTTGTATGGAAAGTTGAGGGAGTTCTCATGGGGGAGAGTAGGAAGGGTTGACCATTTAAGGAGGAGGCAGAAAATGTGGAATAGCCTTGTAAAGAAGGATGAAAGAGGAGATGACTGGGAAAACAGAAGGTTTGCT